AAAATTAGTTTCCAGCTGGTGACAAAACTGAGAGGAATTATTCCAAGAGGATTTAAAAACTAATTTGACTTTACTTCTGTAGTGGGATATATCCTAAGGTAAAAAATGAACTGAAAAAAATTCTGTTTTCAGTAATCATATTGTTGATAGTGGTATAGGTATTAATATATTCTGAGACTGTTGTGAGTAGTGTGAGACAAAGAAAGTATTATGTTGATGTCATTGAGAACTGCAATTTTTGGCATGGGAGAAAGGAGACACATATTTAAGATCAATGAGGATAAATAAAGACCCTATAGTCCTTAAAAGTTGAATTTGAAATGAAAACTTATGATTATAATGTCTTTCATCCTTAAGCAAAAATATAAAATATTTCCCAGCTCTGTCCCAGCTTATAGGCCTAGAAACAATGATTAACTCAACAGCAAGTAACATTCCTAGAGTTAAGATATAGTCTCTAAATATCATTTTCCAATAAAAGGAAGAAGGATGACTCTTCCAGTCTGAGACTGGAAATACACAAGATGAGCCTCGATTCTCCTTGTTAAAACAGATAGTAAGGAAGCTATCAAACATTACTAGAGTCTTATCAAAAGAACTCAGAAGCCAATTTAAATAGGCCACAACTGACCAAAGATGGGCCAATTTGAACACTAACGAAGACATTAACATGAACGAATTGAAATACATTAAATATATTTAGGTCTAATAGTTCATAAGAATATAAAAATTTTTAAAACCTCATCATTGGAGGATATAATAAACTCATTATTTTAAAAACAAGAAAATAAAGGGAGGCCAGGCATGGTGGATGGCTCATGCCTATAACCCTAGCACTTTAGGAAGCCAAGGTGGGAGGATTGCTTGAGGCCAGGAGTTTGTGACTAGCCTGAGCAAGAGTGAGACTCCATCTCCACCAAAAAAACCGAAAAATTAGCTGGTTGGGGTGGCATGTACCTATAGTCCCAGCTACTCGGGGCACGCTGAGGCAGGAGGATCGCTTGAGCCCAAGAGTTTGAGGTTGCAGTTAGCTATGAGACCCTGTCTCAAAATAACAATAAAAGCAAAACAAACAAAAAAAACACACACAAAAAAACAAATAAATAAATAAAGGGAGAATTGAGCAGTTATCCTGCCTTTTCTATATGTACCTTAGAGTAACCAAGTAGTTGGTAGGGGGAGGGGGTTACTTTATAGAATAGTCCACAAATAAATGAAGGAGAAATGATAGAATATCACTATTTTATAATATCTAATGAATTAATGCATCTAGGCAATGACCAATGGCTACTATGTCAAAAAAAGTGAGACAACTAAGACTGATGAATGAAAGTACTAATACACATAAAGTAGTCCTGCCCAACCTAATAAACAAATAAACATACACACAAACACATCTGAATCTGATCAATTCTCTAGACCTACTCTCAATTTACAGGAAATTCAGAAAACAAAGGAACAGGTTAAATGAAACAAGGGAGATACAATCAATAAAATCCATATTCTGATAAATTCTACAGGACAAATAATCCAATTCTTTAACATAAAAATTATTGAGAGTGCAAAAAGGAAAGAGGGAAAAACGTACTTATTGTGATTTATGGGCTTTATTTGGGTCCAGTTCCAAACAAACAAATTAGGGGGGGAAAAAAAGTAAGATGCTTAGGGAAATATGAACAGTGTATATTTCATTACATAGAGAATAACCTTTTTATAAACATGATAATAATATTGTATAATATCTAGGACTTGGCTCCAAAATAATCCGGAGTGGAGTTGGAGTGAGTAGGGAGTAGAGATGAAAACAAGATAGTCACTAGGTGATAACTGGTAAAGTTGGGTGACAGGTGCCATGTGGGTTTATTAACTATTCTCTCTACTTTTGTATATGTTTGAAATTTTCTTTTAGAAAGAAATTTTAAAGCATACTGTTAAAAAAAAATATAAATTTGACTTGTTAATTAAAAGGGAAGAAACCAACAATCTCTGAAGGATAGCAATAATTAGAAAATCCTGGTACTATCACTCTATACCCTGATCCATATAATAACTAAATAGATAACTTACTGATGCCTCTTCAACAGTAGTGTTCACGTGGCTATGAAAACAGGATCGGTCATCATCTTCATCCATATACACTGGTGGTTCATGTGAAGTCATAAAAGTGGAAGGTTTAAAGAGATGCTTATTAAGAGGGTGCTGTCGTCTGCTTGTTGAAGACTAAGTGAGAAAACATATTTTTAATTGGGAGAGTAGAAAATCATTTAAAAGAATCAAAAATATAAATGTTACTTCCAACAAGTCTATCGGAAGGATTTCACTTCTATCCTTTAGCATATTCTTTTTACGTTGTTGCTTTTTCTATGTTGTCTGGATTTTTAAAGCACAACCCGCCTTAAAAAAAGAAATAAAGCTCACGCCTGTAATCCTAGCACTCTGGGAGGCCGAGGCGGGTGGATCGCTCAAGGTCAGGAGTTCAAGACCAGCCTGAGCAAGAGCGAGACCCC